GTGACCCTGAACACTACCACCAATGAAATAGCCGACCAAACCAAGTCTTTTATAAGTCTCCCACCAAGTGACATCCACTAGACCCTCCCTTCCAGTAAGTGACATGTTCCCAGAGTTTTCCCTTACTGATGCTATAATTTCAAAAAGGAGGTCATCTTTTTAATTTATTTATCTACACTGGCCCCTCCACCATCTTATTAAAGTGGAATTCTAGCTATACATTCTGTGGAGAAGTGAGTAACATTTTCCTTATCTAAAAATTTATTTTGGATAGATACATCTCCACAGAACTTCCCCACTCTTGGCGTGTTTGTTTTGTTTCATCAGGAAAGATCCTTTATTGAAATGTGAGTGCTCATAGGGCTTACTGCACACAGAGGAAGTATTAACTTCCTATTGTTGGAGGGTTATAATCTAATAGTGATTATTATAGACTGGCACAGTACACATTAACTGGCCAGTATATCTCAGGAAGTCAGCTGAGCTACAGTACACAAGAAATATTTACTAAAATAAGTAAGTGTAAGGAGGAACACCCCAGACCTACCACTCATGCTCCATCCAGCTGGCCTAACCAAATAAGGACATATTATGGTCTTATACAATGTCAAAATGACCTATTGATGCTAATATTCATAAAAAAAAAAGAAGAGAAATTCAATTTACTTTTGCCAACACAGCTAATATCGGGCTGTAGGGTTATATGAACTTTTAAATAATGAACCTTCTTTTTTTCCCCCATAACCTCAATATTCTTCATACAGAAGATACAAGTCCTTTCATTTTCCAATCCCAAAGGAATACACATATATTCTTCAATTCTAAAACTTTTTAAGTCAGATTTTTAGAAGCAATTTCAGTATACACACTTTAAACAACAATGATAAAAAAATCCATTCTGGGAAATCCTAAGGAGCCTTTATGGTGGTGTAGCTCTTGCACTTTTAGACCCAGGTGAATCAATACAACACCTTTTCTAATGCAAACAAAGCCTTGTTGATGAAACAAAACTTGATATGGTTGAGTGCAGAATGACTAAAATAAGCCTACCTAATCTTAATCCACAAAAACACTACTTTTCCTTTCATAACACAACTGCATAATTTAAATAAAGTATAAAATGATAAAGCAAAATTTAATATGTGGCAGAAGTCCTTAAGTACCTTTTCTTCTAGCTAAACTTTTACCACTTTGTTTTGATCCCTACACAAACCAAACAACCAGAAATTTTACAGTTCAAGCAAATGGAAAAAAGAACTTTCATGACGTATTTAGATCAGTAGTTATGATTTAATGAACTTGAAGATAGCTTTGATATACAGAAACATCTGTTAGCTGAGTTCTTGCACAGATTTTAAAATATAACGTTCATAAATGGAAACATTGGCTTGTTTGGATATGTTGATCTTGAAAGTTGAGTTGTTCAAAACTTTAAAATACCATTTATAATTGGACCAATTAATGCTTGAGATGTTGCAAAAGAAATATCTGCTGAAGCTTTTCGCCAGACACTAATCATAGAAGAACCATTTGGAAAATGATTTATAGGAAATAGTACAGCTAATAAAATTAATTGAAAATAGAAATTATTGCAAATGGTCAGTCAACCTTTCATATCTCTATTTTGGAAGCCACCTTTATTAAAACACATAAACCTGTCCTTTGCCATCAAAAATAATTCCTATACAATCTACACATCCTTCAGTAGGTCTGTGATATTTCCTGATTGGCTAAAGGACATGCTAATCAGCGATTGCTTTACCAGCTTACGTTTATCTGACTTATTTTATAAGGTAGTTGTGAGATCGGTCAAATCTATCAAACCTGCACTGAGATTAATTATTGAAAATAACAGATAAAATATAAAGTTTTTTCTTAAGAAATGTTTGATAACTATCTGGACAATACAAAGATTTCACATGTGAAATTTCAAAATTTTCTGATGCATAAAAGTATTTTTAATCTTAAAATTAATATTATTTTGCATGATAGTTAGGCAACATGTGAAAAGAAAAGAAAAAAAACATGAGAAAAACATTGCTTTACAAACCTTAAGACTTAATAAAAAAGATTTATATTTCGCATATGAAAGCATCATAATGTTTACTTATAATCTGCCAAATTTTGTTCAAATTTGCTTACTAATTTAAAAGTTATAGCATGAAAACTAAAAACTATAACAAGCACAAAATGATTACAAGGTCGGCCCAGGGACCGAACCGGTGCTGAAAAAGTTAATGTCCTTGTATAGATTTATTAAAGCTATATTTCTAGCGATATCTGGCCAAAAACACTAAATAACTATACTAAATCTTAGCCTATGTAAATTGTTTAATAACTAAAATAAACTATGAACTAATATATTTCATTATTTTAAAGATATGTGTCCAAAAAAAATGGTTTTAGCTTTTCACTTCAGAAGCATATACTGCAATAAAGTTAAATCAAAATGATAAAGCACAAAAACAAATTATAAAAAAAGACAGTGAAAAAAAGACTATGACTATAAACCTTGAAAGACTTCTAATTTATCCTATTTATATACTTAACAGATTTACATATCAATAGACCATTACTAATCAACAACAGCTATCTGTTGAAAAGAAATATAATATGGAGAATGTTTTAAAAAAGTAAAAGTGAATGCACTGAAAACGTCACTTGATACCCACATAAATCTTTTAATGTACTCAAAACAATCCCCAATACTTGTGATAGTGATATTACAAAACTAATGAAAGTTCAATTAGATGTATATTTACTAATATTTAGTGGCAGTGGTACTACACTTGTACTATCTTCATACAAACACAATGGTCCTCAGTAAGTATTCCTGAGGATAAATATATCTTGATACTTTCTTAATTCGCTCTACTTTTTGACTTTTCATATAGTAGAACTTACATCAACTAGAATAGAAATAGACAAAACCACTAAAGTAAAGAAGTAATGTTAAAAACGTAAACTTCAAGTTGAAGTTCAACCCTTCTCATATTCATGACAAAAATACTAAAGTAGTGTACTATGAATATAATTGAAAGAGCAGTAAGGTATGTTGATGCTGGAATTTAATATATAGGAATGAAGTTTTAGGCAGAAAAAAGCAAACACCCCCAACTAAGCTTATAAAGGTACACTTGACAGTGACACTTGTAAGTTGTATATATCAAAACAGGTTAAGCCTAATACTAATAGTAACACAATAAAACATCATTCACGTGGGTCCGGCCACTCTCGCCTCGATCGATGACAAAGCTGAGTCAAACACTTACACAACTTTTGTTTATACTTTAACTCAATGATGTCAACAAAGCATTACATAAAAGTGTAAACATTACTTTAAATTTAAAACTAGTCAACTCCAAAATTTACCATGACTGACCATACTATTTACTACAGCATCCACCACCAGTAGCGTCCTTGAGGCTTTCGTATGTTAATTAACTCCATGATTCATCATGGCGCCAAAACAAGCTTTTTGTCATGGGCACTGTTATATAAATTAAAAATCTTTCATAACCATTAACTTAACTAACTAATTATTTTTATATCAAAATTATATAATACACTAAAAACAGACACTTTACGGATATAGATAAATATATACAGCACTGTGTAAGTGTGTTTTACCTTTAACAACTGTCATGGCTCTAGGTGAGCGTCGTTTTTCCATTTACTCTTCACCCTCCCTATTAAAGTTTTTTTTTTTAATACTTATTGGTTTTGGAAAGTAGTTCAGTTTAAATATGAACATGGATATTTTGTATGAATATGTATATATATATATATATATATGTGTGTGTGTGTGTGTGTGTGTTTGTGTATAGCTTTTAAATGTAATAATTTTAAAATCAGAAGTTTTGGGGTGATAGTTACAGGCAAAGTACTTTATAGAACAGCCATAAACAGTGCTGTCAATGGCGTTTAAAATAATAAGTACTTATCTAAGAGAGCGCGCGAAAGAATGAGACAGAGAAACAGACTGGATGACAAAAAGCGTTAAATACTACAAACACCTGATCATACAAAAAAAAATGCTATAACTCACCGGTACCTTTCCTGATTATTATTTTTAGAGAAAAATTTGTCACGAATCTTTTCTATTGATAATCCGCGTGAGATATGACAACTAATTAATAATTTTTTGCATATCTCGGGTTCTATGGTAAACGAGTCTGGACATGTTTTCGTTAAATTTTGGATATTTTTATTTAAATTGTGACGTGTCTAAACAATAGTTAGCGCCTTTAGACAAAAAAAAATATTCAGAAAGATGCTCTTTGTGTCAGTTATTATGACAAACGTGATAGTATTACATATATTTGATAGGTTTTTTACTCTTCATTTTTTATTGTTGCTAGTAGTGGTTTTATTCTCAGCTAAAGTTTAACATTTAAGTGACAGTAAAAAAAAAAGTAATTTGAGATTACTTACTGATTATAAGTACTTGTGTATAATTATACCAGTGATCGATGATGTTTGTTATTAAGTACAAAACTACACAAAAAGCTATCTGTGCTTTGTTTACCACGGGTATCGAAATCCGGTTTCTAGCGACCTAAGTCTGCAGACATACTACTGTGCCACTGCAGGACTGAATGAATTGAGATCATTCATAGATAATCCTTATTGTAAAAGCTGTAACTTGTAATATAATAAAGTTATATTTCACTAAAATGACTTATAACATTTTGTTGTTGTTTTTTTAAGATAAGCTGTTATGTACTTTATTGCCAGTACCGTATAACATGTGAAATGAAAACTTTCAAAAGTTGTAATAATTAAACAACACATTTGTGTTCACGTTTTAGAAACTTGTGTTAAAGCTCTCACTTCATTAATCTTTGAACTAACCAGATGATCACTATATATAATGCTATTTGTTCTTGATAATTTATGAATCAGTATAACGTCATTTCCCTTATTATTTCCTCTGATGATTAACTTTGTCAAAAATGTTAACATATGTTCCAATATATTTTCAGTGGAAAATAAGGAACTTTAATGAGTGTTCCTGGGCCGTAGGAAGCGATAAAGCTAGTCAGGCCATGGCCTGACCACTCTTTTATTGCACGAAAAGCTATAACTTATGTATTAAAACTTGCTTCTTTTAATTCAATATATTGCGCTGTGTGTATGCAGTATTTGTAGTTAGAATGGCTCAAGATTCAATCTCATAGCCTTAAATTTTCAAAAAATTTCTGGGGCATACCCTTAGACCTTCGTAGAAATTGTAATGTGACAATGGTCTGAACACTCCAAAATTGCTTGCTACGGGCAATGTGTTCCCTAAGGTAAGTGAATTCATTCTTTAAATACAATCTATATATATACGTTAGAAAATGTGATATACACAAATACAGTTCTACCAAAATATCCGTAAATATAATTAATAATAAGATATATGGAATTTAAATTAGTTGTGCAAAAATTCAACAGTTGCCCTCTATTCTCAAATGCACTATTTACCTTGCAAGTGAGGGTAGTAACCGCAATAGCAGAAGGAAAAGCAGACAATGTTGTGCAAAATTAAATCCGACTTTGATTGAGATAAAGAAAGAAACTGTGCAAACACTGTTTTAAAAAATGATATGTAATCGTTGTCTGTGTTCCAAAAGTTTTGAAGTAATTCTTACTGAAACTAAATGGGTATAAATAATATATACGAAACCAACAGTTTAATTTTTTTTCTAAATATATTTACTACTCACGTCACGTATGCTCACAAGAAAAAATAGGGAGGGCATGGCTTCCAGATGTTAAACAGTCTCAACACAGTGAACCTCATTACAGTATTACATCATTAATGAGTAGTATGTAATATTAAAACAATTTTGGGGCCTCAGCACATCGATACAGTCCACGTCGCCAAGTCCGATCATGCTCTCTCTGACAGCCGTGCATCTTGACATTAACCCTGCAGCATAATTGTAATTGTAAAAGGCCTTCATGTTAAAAGTACAACACTGCTCCTTGCATGTATTTCATAATAGATTTAGTGTATGAAAACAATGGCTTCCCAGTACCTATTTCAACTGTCCAATCATACAGAAACACACAGGCACTGTGCCTGGTGGTTTGACCAATATGACTTCATATGGAATAGCTTGAATACCTAATGGGGGACTTTGAAAC